ACACAGCAGCTGTCGAATTGCGTACACAATGGCAACCATGACTCACCATCTCAAATAATCTGATCTTACACTGACAGTGCTGCCACCATGCTGCCTGATCAGAGTCTTTGGAGTATCTCCAGCATAAATCTCAGAGAAGAGACATGAACCAAGCTCATCACTTCAGGCTATGCCCACCCCTGTCTTCCCTCATAGGTAATAGAGAGCCAGGAAGGTAGATGATAGGCCAACACACTTTTAACTCCTTTTTCCGTACTTTGAAACTTTGATGCCTTTAACCTTGAAAGGCAAACACCAAGCACTCATTTAGCACTGACAAAGATAATCTCAAAAAAAAAGGGTACGAATCCTAAAGTTCTCACCCGTCTCCTGGGAATTGGGCATCTGATATCAGGCTGGTCACCAAAATTTTTATAAGTAATATAGTTTTCTGAACAGATCAGCACCCCACTAGGTCCATCAGAACCACCAGGAACTGAAACACAGAAAATAAACATTCTTATGAGAAAAGCCCCAGTTGCGACTGACTGCAGAACATTGATTTTGGTTTTCTTTAAAGCAACACAGTTTCCACTGCTCTGCATCACCCTGCATATATAAATCTACTCCTATTGAGGGGAAAGACAAAACACTGAGTACAGTTTCCTGGGTCAGCGTAAGAACAGGGCAGATGGAACTGGGGGACCAGGAAGGAGAAAAAGGAAGGCTGCAACTTCAGACAAACTGCTTACACTTCATCCTTCATGGCTTATTCTCATCTAGAAAGCCACAACATGCCCAAAATACCACATTAGCAACCTGTCAGTCAAACACAACCCTTCAGTTACTGACACTTGCTGTCAAAAAAAAAGCCACCAGATGATTTCCTGACGTATCTTTCATTTTCAGAGTGCATTTTTTTAAAGTCCTTCTATTGAAATCCTGGCGTACCAAAAGATATCATCAAAATAGTAGTAGCGGTCAGATCCAGCCCAATATTTGGCGTCTGTCAGCTGCCTACAGAAGATGCAACAGGGCAAGCGTACAATTAATTTATACTAATGGATCAGACAACCATCAAAACAACTCCTAAGATGTAAAGCGCATCAATTCTGTTTCCCTGGGATATGGGAACCAAGTAGACCCACAAAAAAATGACTCAGTGGCCAGGCGGGCAGTACCTGTTATAAGGAAGTTGCCGTGCTCTTCCAAGGGCTCGCTGTATTTTCTAACAACGTGGTTCAAACCCAAGTCCAGTTCATAAAACGTCAATGTCTGTTGCGTGTTGGCTGCTGCTTCTCCTGTGGGATCATTGTCTGCTTCCTAAAACAGAACACATGAAGGTGTCTTTCAAGAAAGTTATTAAAGGAGCAATGCTGATGCATCGGGAAATGGTTTTGAGTAAAGTTAGAATGGAAGTCCAGAAGACAACTTGTTGGAAGATGCACATAAAAAGGTTCAGAGGAAAAAAACCAGACACTTGTCCAGTTGAACAGCAAGAATTTAAGAACCACCAAGACAGAAGCAGCCAACGTTGCCCGCCTCTGCAGACAGATTAAGAACAGAAGAGAAACAACAAAGCTCAAAACAGAAAAGGGAAATCAGGTTCTTCTCACCTCATAATCCATTTCCAGACAAGCAAACATGGGGTTTTCAAATCCCACATCGACTCCCACCACATGGTAGACCAAGGTATTGGCCTTGTGGGCTTCCAGTGGGGAGGAAATGGTGAGACGAGCAGCAGCATCTCTGTTCAAGATATACACCAGCTTCTGCTTTTCAATCGCACCTAAAAGAAAAGGACAACAGAACCTGAAGCACATCACCTGGTGACCAAATCTGATCGTGCCTGCAGTCCAATACCAATGTAAGACTTTGCAGGAGAATATCAGTGTCACCTCTGCTGAAGTTCACTACTGGTATTTATCTCTGTGTCACCAATTAACTTTGAATGTCTTGTTTTTAATGTTTCAGGCAAGCACAAATGACAACTCCAGCTCTTTAAAGCCAAAGACTGACCCTCTTGGCTACGTCCACCTAGCCCAATATTCAATCTACAACAGCTACAGGCAGATCTACTCGCTTGTTCCACTGCACAAGAGATGACAGACTGCAGGGGGGCAAAAACAAATTGAAAAAAACAGCCAGACATTCCCCCATTTTAAGCAATTTGGCAAAGAGACCTTTCCTCAGAAATATTTTAACCAAAAAAAAAAAAAAAAAAAAAAAAGTATTTTTGCCTGATACACAGCATTCACAACATAGCAAATGCTTGTCACCCTTAATTATTACTGTGAATGGCACAACTGTGACTGAGCTACCTTCTCACCCATGAAAACAAGACTTGTTAGAAAGATGACAGTATTATTTATCGTTATTCCCGATACAAAGGGGGACTGTTAAACCCCCGATCATTGCAAGTCCCTGCTCTCAGCGGATAGGAAAGCGGCATCGCACAAAGCTGGCTACGGCAAACTGAGAAAGTTCACATCTCAAGTAACTAAACTACCCCATAGTATAAAAAAATTACCCAACTGTCCTTCTACCTGCGAAGCCTGATCAGAAATGCATCCAGCTGTCTCCACGATGCATCTCAGAGAAGAGACATGAATTCCTAACATCATTTCAGGCTATGGGAGCTGACTGACCATGCTGTAGCACCAACACCTGCAACCCCAACTTCTCTCCCAGAGATCACACTTCAGGGCTCCGTGCACCGGTAAGCAAGCTGGCCTCTTCCCAAATTGTTTTGGCCCAGTGTTAGAATTAATTTGAGCAATTCCATCAGCATCAAGAACTATTCTGAATGCCTGCATTCTCCCTGACAAGTCTCATAGCCTAACAAACTGCTCAGGAAGAAATGCTTGCAATTATACCTGGCAGAAACCCTTTGGGTCTACAGCCAAGTACTGGCCTGGAACGATTCTGCGACATCCACTCTTGCCAAAGGTTTCCTGATGAATCTTCTCAAACACGTTCTTTGAGGGCTGGTACTCCAGAATAACAATGCGTCCCGAATCACTGCCCACAACGATATAGTCTTTGGTCCCACCCGTCAGCCTAAAGGCCATGAGGGAGCGAATGACTCCGAACACTTCCACAGTCAGCAGGGTATGAACCTTCCCTGTGTTGGGATCCGGGCGAAGTAACTCCAGGATCTTGCCCCGGGAAACAACGATTTCTTGTTGTTTGGTTCCTAAAAAACCCAAAACATGAAGAAGAGCTAGCAACAACACAGCAGAACATGCAATTTCAGGAAGAGCTCTAAGAAAGAAGATGAAACTTCTTGACACTAAATGCCAAAGAGTTTTATGATTACTATGGAAAACTTCAAAGCAACTCATTCACCACCCTGGGGTGCCGCTGTTGTTTGAGAATCTTTTAACAGACCAGGACACTGAACAAAATACTAAGTTAAATCTATGCATAACCTAAGCCAAACTTCTCTTGATCTTTCCACAAGTTACAATAGCTCAAGTAACACACTCAAGAGCAAACAATAACACACCAGCGAAAAAATAATACACAGAAGCAGACCGGCTTCAGCAACCAAACCAAGTAAAGAACAAACACCTTTTTTTCTTCTACTACCGGAAAGAGCTTGAGCCGAGATGCGCTAAGGGATGAGACTATTACCTGAGAAATTGCCATGGATAGCATAGCTAATGCCAGTGGCGCGCTGCAACGTCAGGTTGTAGAGAAACATGTTGGCAACGGGCTTGCTTCACCTTATCGTAGCTTCTACAGAGCCTGCAACAAGTAGAACACAAATATACACTCCGTAAAAACTCTTCCATCTGTCACAGAGAGAGAACTGCTGCCCTCTTGTTGGTCTGCATGTATCACTTTACGTTAAAGACTTAAATGCCACCCAGCTAAAGTTATTTGCTATATATTAGTACCACGAGGCAAGAAGCTGTCCCAAAGATAAGCAGGCTGCCGAGCGTCAGCTGAGCTCCTTCCCGCCGCATAACTGATCAGGATTTCCAGCTAATTACTTTTCTTACGGTTTTAGTTGTTCAGAAACCGAAGTTAGCAAATCCCTCTAGAGGTGCCCTGCGCCGTTACACCTCACTGCTCTCGCCGCTTCATTTAATATGAGCCAAGCTACCCACGACAGCTTGGAGCGAGCGCCTGACTCGATTCCTTTCCCCGGGGCTAAGGCGGGAGGAAACCCCAGCTGCACACAGACCGCAGGCTCAGGGAACCGGCCCTCAGCCGCTCCGCGCCTGGCCAAGGCCCCTCCAGGGCCCGTAGCCCAGCACCGCCCCGCATCCCGACCGGGCTCCCCACGCCCTTCGGCGAGCAGGGCC